GGCAGCATTCGCACAAAACTGAAAGCGCGAACCACCGCATTTAACCATGGCAAGGTGACTGGGAATATGGCAGAATACAAACAGTGTAGCTACTCACTCCGTAAGGCAATTAAACTGGCAAAACATCAGTATAGAGACAAAGTGGAGTCGTAATTCAACGGCTCAGACACAAGACGTATGTGGCAGGGTCTACAGACAATCACGGACTACAAAAGGAAAACCAGCTACGTCGCCGACACCGACGTCTCGCTTCCAGACAAGCTAAACACCTTCTTCGCCCGCTTTGAGGATAACACAGTGCCACCGATGAGGCCCACTACCAAGGACTGTGGCCTCTCCTTCTCCGTGGCCAACGTGATTAAGACATTTAAGCATGTTAACCCCCGCAAGGCTGCCGGCCCAGACGGCATCCCTAGCCGCGTCCTCAGAGCATGCGCAGCCCAACTGGCTGGTGTGTTTACGCTCTCCCTTTCCCAGTCTGCTGTTCCCACATGCTTCAAGATGGCCACCATTGTTCCTGTACCCAAGAAAGCAAAGGTAACTGAACTAAATGACTATCACCCTGTAGCACTCACCTCTGTCATCATGAAGTGCTTTGAGAGACTAGTCAAGGATCATATCACCTCTACCTTACCTGTCACCCTAGACCCACTTCAATTTGCTTACCGCACCAATAGATCCACAGACGATGCAATCGCGATCACACTGCACACTGCCCTATCCCATCTGGACAAGAGGAATACCTATGTAAGAATGCTGTTCATTGATGATAGCTCAGCATTCAACACCATAGTACCCTCCAAGCTCATCATTAAGCTCGAGGCCCTGGGTCTGGACCTCGCCCTGTGCAACTGGGTCCTGGACTTCCTGACGGCCCGCCCCCAGTTGGTAAAGGTAGGAAACAACATCTCCACTTCGCTGATCCTCAACACTGGGGCCCCACAAGGGTGCGTGTTCAGCCCCCTCCTGTACTCCCTGTTCACCCATGTCTGCATGGCCAAGCATGCCTCCAACTCAATCATCAAGTTTGCAGACGACACAACAGTAGTAGGCTTGAATACCAACAATGACGAGACCGCCTACAGGGAGGAGGTGAGGGCTCTGGGAGTGTGCTGCCAGGAAAATAACCTCTCACTCAACGTCAACAAAACAAAGGAGATTATCGTGGACTTCAGGAAACAGCAGAGGGTGCACCCCCCTATCCACATCGATGGGACCGCAGTGGAGAAGGTGGAAAGCTTCAAGTTCCTTGGCGTACACATCACCGACAAACTGAAATGGTCCACCCACGCAGACAGTGTGGTGAAGAAGGCACAACAGAGACTCTTCAACCTCAAGAGGCTGAAGAAATTCGGCTTGGCACCTAAACCCTCACAAACTTTTACAGATGCACAATTGAGAGCACCCTGTCGGGCTGTATCACCGCCTGGTATGGCAACTGCACCGCCCGCAACCGCAGGGCTCTCCAGAGGGTGGTGCGGTCTGCCGAACGCATTACCAGGGGCAAACTACCCGATGTCACAGGAAGGCCAAAAAGATAATTGATCAAGGACATCAACCACCCGAGCCACTGCCTGTTCATCCCGCTATCATCCAGAAGGCGAGGTCAGTACAGGTGCATCAAAGCTGGGACCGAGATAATGAAAAACAGCTTCTATCAAGGCCATCAGACTGTTAAATAGCCATCACTAGCACATTAGAGGCTGCTGTTGCCTATTGAAATCACTGGCCACTTTAAGAAATGGAACACTACATTTACGTCATTTAGCAGACGCTCTTATCCAGAGCGACTTACAGTTAGTGAGTGCACACATCTTTTTTTTTTATACTGGCCCCCCGTGGGAATCAAACCCACAACCCTTGTGTTGCAAACGCCATGCTCTACCAACTGAGCTACATCCCTGCCGGCCATTCCCTCCCCTACCCTGGACCAATTGTGCGCCGCCCTGTGGGTCTCCCGGTCACAGCCGGCTACGACAGAGCCTGGATTCGAACCAGGATCTCTAGTGGCACAGCTAGCACTGCGATGCAGTGCCTTAGACCACTGCACCGCTCGGGAGAGTATTCACTTTAATAATGTTTTACATATCTTGCACTACTCATCTCATATGTATATACAGCATTCTATTCTATAATATTCTACTGTATCTTAGTCCATGCCGCTCTGTCATTGCTTGTCCATATATGTATATATTCTTAAATTCCATTCCTTACTAGTTTTGTGTGTATTGGGTATATGTTGTGAAATTGTTAGATATTACTTGTTAGATATTACTGCACTGTTGGAGCTAGAAGCACAAGCATTTCGCTACACCCGCTATAACATCTGCTAAACACGTGTATGTGACAAATACAATTTGATTTGATTTTATTTGAACAGGAGTATAACCTACCTGGCTGGCATGAACATAAACCACGGGGAAAAGCTTCCTCCATTCGCTATTGAAGTGCATAGATGACATGTATTATTTCCTGCTGCCCCTGTTTTGATACAGGTGCATGATAATGGTCCATTCTAAATCAAAACAAATGTCACACATATATTATTTAGTATATGTAAAGAAAATATTAAATCAAGAAAAGTCTGATGGGTGACAATATTAGCCTATCACTTGTGAATTATATCATCTTAGTCCTGTATTGACGCTTTGCCTGTTTGATGGTTCGTCGGAGGGCATAGCAGGATTTCTTATAAGCTTCCGGGTTAGAGTCCCGCTCCTTGAAAGCGGCAGCTCCACCCTTTAGCTCATTGCGGATGTTGCCTGTGGCTTCTGCTTGGGGTATGTACGTACAGTCACTGTGGGTACGACGTCATCGATGCACTTATTGATGAAGCCAGTGACTGATGTGGTGTACTCCTCAATGCTATCGGAAGAATCCCGGAACATATTCCAGTTTGTGCTAGCAGACATTATTTTGCAACGGTTATCATCCTAAAGTGCCTTGCAAAAGTATTCATCCCCTTTGGCGTTTTTCCTATTTTGTTGCATTACAATCTGGATTTCATATAATGGACATACACAAAACAGTCCAAATTGGTGAAGTGAAATGAAAAAAATAACTAGAAAATAAATAACGGAAAAGTGGTGCGTTCATATGTACATTACATTACATTACAGTCATTTAGCAGACGCTCTTATTCACCCCCTTTGCTATGAAGCCCCTAAATAAGATCTGGTGCAACCAATTACCTTCAGAAGTCACATAGTTAGTTAAATAAAGTCCACCTGTGTGCAATCTAAGTGTCACATGATCTCAGTATATATACACCTGTTCTGAAAGGCCCCAGAGTTTGCAACACCACTAAGCAAGGGGCACCACCAAGCAAGCGGCACCATGAAGACCAAGGAGCTCTCCAAACAGGTCAGGGACAAAGTTGTGGAGAAGTACAGATCAGGGTTGGGTTATAAAAAAGTATCAGAAACTTTGAACATCCCACGGAGCACCATTAAATCCATTATTAAAAAATGGAAAGAATATGGCACCTCAACAAACCTGCCAAGAGAGGGCCGCCCACCAAAACTCACAGACCAGGCAAGAGGGCATTAATCAGAGAGGCAACAAAGAGACCAAAGATAACCCTGAAGGAGCTGCAAAGCTCCACAGCGGAGATTGGAGTATCTGTCCATAGGACCACTTTAAGCCGTACACTCCACAGAGCTGGGCTTTATGGAAGAGTGGCCAGAAAAAAGCCATTGCTTAAAGAAAAAATAAGAAAACACGTTTGGTGTTCGCCAAAAGGCATGTGGAAGACTCCCCAAACATATGGAAGAAGGTACGCTGGTCAGATGAGACAAAAATTGAGCTTTTTGGCCATCAAGGAAAATGCTATGTCTGGCGCAAACCCAACACCTCTCATCACCCCGAGAACACCATTCCCACAGTGAAGCATGGTCGTGGCAGCATCATGCTGTGGGGATGTTTTTCATCGGTAGGGACTGGGAAACTGGTCAGAATTGAAGGAATGATGGATGGCGCTAAATACAAGGACATTTTTGAGGGAAACCTTTTTCAGTCTTCCAGAGATTTGAGACTGGGACGGAGGTTCACCTTCCAGCAGGACAATTACCCTAAGCATACTGCTAAAGCAACACTTGAGTGGTTTAAGGGGAAACATTTAAATGTCTTGGAAAAGCCTAGTCAAAGCCCAGACCTCAATCCAATTGAGAATATGTGGTATGACTTAAAGATTGCTGTACACCAGTGAAACCCATCCAACTTGAAGGAGCTAGAGCAGTTTTGCCTTGAAGAATGGGAAAGAATCCCAGTGGCTTGATGTGCCAAGCTTATAGAGACATACCACAAGAGACTTGCAGCTGTATTTGCTGCAAAAGGTGGCTCTACAAAGTATTGACTTTGGGGGGTGAATAGTTATGCACGCTCAAGTTTTCTGTTTTTTTGTCTTGTTTCTTGTTTGTTTCACAATAAATCATATTTTGCATCTTCAAAGTGGTAGGCATGTTGTGCAAATCAAATGATACAACCCCCCCCAAAAAATCCATTTTAATTCCAGGTTGTAAGGCAACAAAATAGGGGGGTGAATACTTTCGCAAGCCACTGTAGGTCAGGCTAATGTATGTCTAATGTCCTGTAGCAACCTTTGGAGCTTACAGCCACACTTTGCACAACATTCCCTTCATAGCTGCCCACCACTGATTGACCCACCCCACAAACCCCCAGTGTATCCCAGAAACCCTCAGCGGCTGACCTCAACCCATGCCTGGCATGTGGGAGGATGAATCCCTCAATCCAAGACCTCTCTCCCTAAAATGTTGCTGTAATAGCCTGATGTGCATGTGCACGCACGCACGCACATACATACACACACACACACACACACAGTGATTGTGATTCTGTGGTATAGACAGTCAGGCCACTGCTTAGATTTTTATTGAATGAGATACAATGGCAGTCAGTCATAACAGTGTTTTGTGTCTGGCTTGAAGGTATTTCCTCAGTCCTACCACAGAAAGTACATAACATCTCTCTCATTCATAAACATGGCTCTCCTCCTAAGCTCCTCAGCTGGAGTGAAGAGGAATGGCTATGGATATTATCTCAACTGCTCGTATCAGGAAGTCAGAATGTGGAAGAAGACTGTTTGTTGTTGTTTTCAGAAACTAAAACAAAAGACTTCCTGCTCCGAGTGTGTGTCTGGTCAGCCTCAGAATGTAGTCCACGAGCATACGGCACTGACATTAGCGTTTTCTCCTGAAAGATGGAGGAAAAGTGGAAAGGAGCGAGAGGATGGCAGGGAAGGGGCACTGTATAGGTTAGATATGCAGGTGTTGATGACGCATCAGACACACCTATTTACAGTACATACTTATTTAGACACGGTCATAAACACTGAACAGACCCTTCAGGAAAGTGCCAGTAGGTTAACCTACAGTATCAAAGGTGAGCGCACCGCACAGTTCCAAAGGCTTCTAGCCAAGGCATGTTTCTGCCCCTGTCTGGTGATCAAAAGTATTGCTTTCCTGACTCTCAGCTCACCACCATAGGACATGGCAGCTTCCTTGTGAGCTATAATAAGTGATACCAGCCAAAATGGTCTTTCCCACACAGTGAGGAAAAGGTAATGCTGCCTTTTCATAACAAAATCACCATGGAAACAAACCCTTGTGATTGGACTCGTAATAGTGTAGATGTTTTGACCAGATCTGTGTCTGATCACAGCTTGTTCCACTGCTTGTCTGTAACAGGGAGAAGGAGAATAGAGTGTGCTGCTTCGTACAGATGGCATGTTACAGTAAAGGGCAGATTTATACAGAAATACCCTCAGAATTTCACAGTGAGAGGAACCCTGTTTGTCTTAGCCTTAGGACTTCAGGGAACAGTGTCCAGCTGTCTTCATACATTTTGAAGAACATACACAGTTACGTAACTCTCTTGCACTCTCATCCTCTCTTATATAATGACTGTTCATATGGATGTCAGACCCCCTAGTATCAATCCACTCAATCAATCCAGTCCTCTAATCTGGAGTATAAACATTACTCACCAGCCCGTCTCCTCTCTTCTTTCGTGTCTCCTCTCCTCAGTATAGGGAGTTTCTGAGAAGAGCTTTTCTTTCTGAGTAGTGACATTAGACAAACCAATGATGTAATGGGAAAGTGTTGAACTGGGTTGAGATCTTGGGATTGAGCCTACTGGGAGATGTATGGCTAAATGGTCGAATCCCCCCATATGCATACACACAAAGCTTGTAGATATTTCTACCTCTGGTCCTATCACAGTCCCTTCCCTCTAAACTGACCTTCACTCTCTCGCTCTATGAGCTCTAATAATTGGTCTCTCTCCTCCTTTCTCCCTTTTTTAAAAACTAATTCCTCTCGCTCTCTTTCCCTTCACTCATCTTTGCTTGCACTCTGAGATGCTATCTGTCTGTTTCTCAACAAACACTGGAGCCCATGGTCCCTGCCAGCATGGCCATGGATTAAACACTCACGCCCACAATTACTCACGCATACATACACAGACAAGCAAACACACGCAAATGCAAAATTCTACAGGCATGCACATAAACACCTGCAGGTCTTCTGGCAAAAATATACATACAGTACAAATAATTTTGAACAGATTTGACAGCCAGACACACAAGCATACAAATGATATACAACCACGCTTACACAGACCTGTGAGGTTTCTGTTGAGGTGGTTATTGTACCTACTCCAGACCCAGGTCATTGGCCATGTCCGAATACACCTACTTGCATTCTAAATAGTAGGCATTTTGGGTATACAAAAAATATTACGTTTTATAGTATGTGGAATTTCGAAAATGTAGTATGCTTTAAATAACAGGATGTCATACTCATTTTGGCGTTTCATCTATAGAATTCTCTACACACTATTGAGAAAGAGAATCGTATTTAGAGACCCAAAATGAACGAATGGCGGGAATCAACGCAATTGTGCATTAGATGACACATTCTCAGTAGGATGAGCCTAGTATGATGTTATTTGTTGGTTACTGCATTCATTTTTACTAAACGGTACATTCTAAAATGTATGTAGTACGATTCGTACACAGTATGCAGTTTAAGTAAGTAGTAGGCAAGCTAGATTTTGGACATGGCCATTGTGTACTGGATACTCAGAAACCCATTACCTTCCACTAAACATCCAGGAATCGCTCCTCTCCTCAGAAACATACTGTAGTTCATTTTCTTTTGAAGTCTGTTTGGAATCTGAAATCTGTTTAGTGTTTGAGTATGCAACCGGTCTGGGAAAATGGCTTCACTACATCCAAGTCAAGACTCATACATCATCCTCACCTCCTACCCTGTAATTTCACACTCATTTAATTCCTCAGCCTCTCTGTTCTCATCATTTTCACACTCATTTCATTCTGCTGTCGTGGCCTATTGGTCCAGTATGTGAACTAGTGGAGAGAAACCCTCACACATACATACATACTCTCACACACACACACACACACACAGAGATGGTTTATACATTCTACTGCTTTCTGTTATTACTGATAGTCCCGATAGCCCCCATAGCCCTATAGACTTGGGAATCTAGGTGATAACGCCCTCTTAAGATCCCTTTTTCACATAGGACCAGATACTCAATCAGCCCACCCACTGGGCACACACTGGTAGTATCCATGTCATTTCATTGAAATTACGTTGAACCAACATGGCATAGATGTTGAATTGACGTCTGTGCCCAGTGGGCAGTCTCTCTCTTTAGCAGCACAGGTCATTAACTACAAATCTGTTTTTGTATGGATGTCAGTTTAGTCGGCCTGCTATCTTGTCGATCTGGTGTTTGGGTTTGGTGAGATGCGAAACAGACTGAGAAAGAAAGCAAAACGGGACATCTAAAAAACAAGCTACCCTTCCTTTGATCTCCTGTCAGATTTGCATGTTGTGGTTAGAGAGCATGTGATAGACATCGCAGAATGGCAGAGTGAGAACATACACAGGAGATGACAGACACGTGGAGACATTACCACGTCATGCGTGTCAGTGTGTTCTGGGTTAGAGGGTTGGAGGCATCTCTGTCATGCAAAGAACCTGCTGGAATGTCTGATCAGAGAAAGATGGAGAAGTTTTGTCTAACAGGAGGATGTAGGGAAGGAGATAGAGAGGCAGACGGAACGAAACAGAAGAGAGAGAATTGGAGGCGGAGGGAAACGGAGAGAACAACACGTGGAAAAATTATTGATCACTGAAATCAGTTACATTTGTAAGTTCATGAAAATGTCACTTTCTTCAGAGCATCAACTCTTCTTGGTTTACAGTATCTAACAATCATGGGGATTTGTCGAAATAGTGGTACAGTAAACGATTATGTACATCAGAAGCTGTACTGGTGTGAGCTAGAGGATTTAGCCATAACAAGTAACACATGTACGTAGTTGGTTCAACAGTCAGTAATCTTGCTCTCGATCTCTCTCTCGCTCGCTCGCTTTCACTCTCAAGCAGGCACTCACACTACCATGTTAATTGACTATTCCTCCAGCACATTAGAATGAAATCTAGTAAAATCTCTATAAAAACAATATGAGAGAGAGGTGTAACTGGTGTAAAATGGCTGGCTAGCTAGTTAGTGGTGCGCGCTAGTGACATCAATCGGTGACGTCACTCGCTCTGAGTTGTTTCCCTTGCTCTGCACGGGCTGCAGCATTTGTGGAGCGATAGGTAACGATTCTTTGTGGGTGACTGTTGTCGATGTGTTCAGAGGTGTGAGCAAGGAGTGGGATGGAAGCAACACTGTTACAGAGTGAGGAAAAGAGAAAGAGCAAGAAAGAAGGGGCGAAAGGGGGGGCCTGTGGTGAGGATGAGGATAGCAGGGTGGTTTGAGTTGTAGAGGGTGACTGATACCCATGTTTACCAGGGTTCTCAGATCAGCAGCAGCAACTACACATTGATCCACTTAGCTTGGACTTGAGGTGGAGCGGAGGCAAGGGTGTGTGTGTGACAGAGAGAGTGGGGAGTGAACGGGGAATTGCGAAAGGAAGTGAGGGTAGATGATGGAGATGAGACTGTGTGTGTGTGTACGTATATTTGTATATAAATTATGTGTGTACTGTATGTTTGGGGTTCTGCGACTGTGCTCTCTACTGGTTACTTAGGGTTTGTCACACATACACTACCAGTCAAAAGTTTGGACACACCTACTCATTCAAGGGTTTGTCTTTATTTTTACTATTTATTACATTGTAGAATAATAGTGAAGACATCAAAACTATGAAATAACACATATGGAATCATGTAGTAACCAAAAAAGTGTTTAAAAAATCTAAATATATTTTATATTTGAGATTCTTCAAATAACCACCCTTTGCCTTGATGACAGCCTTGCACACTCTTGGCACCAAGAAAACAATTGGTAACACACTACGCCATGAAGGACTGAAATCCTGCAGCGCCCGCAAGGTCCCCCTGCTCAAGAAAGCACATATACATGCCCGTCTGAAGTTTGCCAATGAACATCTGAATGATTCAGAGGAGAACTGGGTGAAAGTGTTGTGGTCAGATGAAACCAAAATGGAGCTCTTTGGCATCAACTCAACTCGCCGTGTTTGGAGGAGGAGGAATGCTGCCTATGACCCCAAGAACATCATCCCCACCGTCAAACATGGAGATGGAAACATTATGCTTTGGGGTTGTTTTTCTGCTAAGGGGACAGGACAACTTCACTGCATCAAAGGGACGATGGACAGGGCCATGTACCGTCAAATCTTAAGTGAGAACCTACTTCCCTCAGCCAGGGCATTGAAAATTGGTCGTGGATGGGTATTCCAGCATGACAATGACCCAAAACACACGGCCAAGGCAACAAAGGAGTGGCTCAAGAAGAAGCACATTAAGGTCCTGGAGTGGCCTAGCCAGTCTCCAGACCTTAATCCCATAGAAAATCTGTGGAGGGAGCTGAAGATTCGAGTTGCCAAACGTAAGCCTCGAAACCTTAATGACTTGGAGAAGATCTGCAAAGAGGAGTGGGACAAAATCCCTCCTGAGATGTGTGCAAACCTAGCGGCCAACTACAAGAAATGTCTGACCTCTGTGATTGCCAACAAGGGTTTTGCCACCAAGTACTAAGTCATGTTTTGCAGAGGGGTCAAATACTTATTTCCCTCATTAAAATGCTAATCAATTTATAACATTTTTGACATGCGTTTTTCTGGATTTTTTTGTTGTTATTCTGTCTCTCACTGTTCAAATAAACCTACCATTAAAATGATAGACTGATCATTTCTTTGTCAGTGGGCAAACGTACAAAATCAGCAGGGGATCAAATACTTTTTTCCCTCACTGTATATGTGTGTGTGTGTGCTTCTTGAGAGTGTCACTCTCATGGCTGTGTGCTCTGTAGCCCTGTCCTCAGTGTTAGCCCAGTCTCAGTAGATATACTCCACCCTGCTCTGCCTGACAGGGCTCTGGCAGCACGCCTCACACGTGAGCAAGGGAACAGCTGGATAATGGAGGGAAGAGAGGAGAGATGGGCTACAGGGCAGTTCCCAGGCTCTAGTCCCTGGTGAGAGGAGAAGAGGCGAGAGTAAGAGGGAGAGGGGTTTGAGAGAGTAGTGAGGCCAGCTGGTAAACTGTCATGTGGGTAACTGCCTAGTAGGGTTGCTGCAGGAGAGCTGCCTCAAAGCTGCAAAGCAAATTACAACAGTTAACACCACGATCTCCTTTCTGATCATTTGAACTGATCAAATTAATGTTTCTGGTTCATGCTGTGTGTGTTTGTGTTAGTGTCAGTGTTGCGTGTTGCCACTGGCAGAAGAGATAAATGCTGTAAAAGAATGCAGAGAGCTTTGGAAGACTAGGGGTGATCGGGGGGGGGGGGATTATGTTGCCCTCTAGTGGTGTATAATGGTCTCAGTCTCAGTCTACTGATTGCTAATCTCTCTCTCCCTCTCTCTGTAGGGGTGTTCTGGGTCATCGTGCGGAGGAAAATGTGACTGCAGCGGAGTAAAAGGAGCAAAGGTAAGCATTCTGTCCATCACTCCTTCATTGTCTACCAGTTTCACATTTCTCTCCACTCTCTTCTTTTCTTCGCACCGTATCTCTTTCACCTACTCTCACTCATCCTGAGATTTCTACCTAGAAACTAAAGATTCCAGAATCCCTGTTAGGCTCAAAGGGGTGGTGACTCTGTCTAGGGATGTTTCTTATGGTACGGTATGTATACATTTTTGGATGTCCATCATCCATTTCGTATGATATGTTACGAATATTTTTTTTTATGATATGTTACGAATAGCAATTTGAAGAATGTTACGAATTTGCATTATGTATAATATGTTACAAATTCCACTTAGCTAGGTGACTAACGTTAGCTAGGTGGCTAACGATAGCTAGAATAGGGGTTACGGGTTAAGGTTAGAGGAAGGGTTAGCTAACATGCTAAGTAGTTGCAAAGTAGCTAAAAAGTATTAAGTAGTTGAAGAGTTGCTAATTAGCTAAAACGCGAACGCACAACCTTTTGGGTTCCTAGATGTTTGCGTTATACCCATGTCATAGGCAACCATAATCCCCGACCAACTTCATTCCTTTCGTTTTTGGCTTAACCTCTTAAGGATTGGACCCTTTTTTTCAATTTTCGCCTAAATTGACATACCCAAATCTAACTGCCTGTAGCTCAGGACCTGAAGCAAGGATATGCATATTTGTCAAATCAAATCAAATCAAATTGTATTTGTCAGATGCGCTGAATACAACAGGTGTAGACCTTACAGTGAAATGCTTACTTACAAGCCCTTAACCAACTATGCAGTTTTAAGAAAGAATACCAAAAAAATAAATCTATCTTAATACAATTTGAAAGGAAACACTTTGAAGTTTGTGGAAATGTGAAATTAATGTAGGAGAATATAACACATTAGATCTGGTAAAAGATAATACAAACCAAAAAACATGTTTTCTATTATTATTTTTCACCATCTTTGAAATGCACGAGAAAGGCCACAATATAATATTGCAGTTTAGGTGCAATTTAGACTTTAGCCACTAGATGGCAGCAGTGTGGGTGCAAAGTTTCAGATTGATCCAGTGAAGCATTGCAATACTGGATTATTTTGTATCAAGTCTGCCCAAATGTGCCGAATATGTAAATTTATACATTTTCAAGTACATAACTATAGAGAACATACAAAAATGATATGGTAATACAAAATGTAAGTTTACACACTCCCAGGAATGTCATACATGATGGATCATTAGCTTATACACTAACTTTCACACATTTAGATGGCCAGGCGGGGTGGGTGTGGAGCCAGAGACAGCAGGGGTTCAAACTGTAGAACCCAGTTCCAACGTTTGAATATAAAAATGGATTTAATCAAACAAAACTATGCTACATTTTAACTCTGGGACCCATGACAAATGAGAGCAGGTAGCTTAGTGGTTAAGCGCGTAGTGCCGGAAACCGAAAGGTCGCTGGTTCTAATCCCCGAACCGACTAGGTGAAAAATCTGTTGATGTGCCCTTGAGCAAGGCACTTAACCCTAATTTCTCCTGTAAGTCGCTCTGGATAAGAGCGTCTGCTAAATGACTAAAATGTAAGAACATTATTTACCTTCAGAGGTGAATGTATCAAACCAGTTGCCGTGATAAGTTTTTTGTTGTTTTGCACTCTCCTCAAACAATAGCATGGTATTTTTTCACTGTAATAGCTACTGTAAATTGGACAGTGCAATTAGATTAACAAGAATTTAAGCTTTCTGCCCAGATAAGACATGTCTATGTCCTGGAAAGTTTGCTGTTACTTACAACAGTCATGCTAATCACATTAGCGCATGTTAGCTCAACCGTCCCGTATATGGGACACCGATCCCGTAGAGGTTAAGTAACCTTCTGCCTTATGTAACCATACCAAATGTAACATATCATACTAATTTGTGTGTCACAGCTGTACATGTACTATGTTACGTATAGTCTTAGAGTCCAGGATAGTCAGTCTAGTCCTGGGTGGAAAATGGAGGAGCGGAGCCACGACATGGAGCAGGGATCAGGATGGAGACAGACTGGAATCAGGCAGAATTAGAGCATGTCCGGACACACAGCTGAGCTGAGGGCGGCATTCCCACCGGACCGAACAATCTCTCATTCACTTTTGAAACAGTACCACACTGTTACAGAACATCCAGCAATCAGTGGTTTAAAATTGTGGTTGGAAGTTTAAAAGACACTTGAAGACAAAGTCTACACATTGCCTGTCTTATCTCAAAGTAACAATGACACACTCAGTTACATCTCCACCCTCTCAGGGATTACAGAAAAAAACAATTACGTAGCGGCTACTGTATGTATTGACTCACACACATTAGAGCCTAGCAACAGTGTCTTATCTACCCTGCATGTGTAGCCTTAAGCTCTCAAAATGACTCATTGTTTTAGAAACAGAAGCCGACAGACAGACCACAGAGGACGACAGAGGACCTGTGTGTTCTCTGGACCCAGGCCTGTACTGACTGACTGACAGACTGAGCCTGGTGAAGTCATGCCTCATGTCTGTCTGTTGAAAGGTGTTGAAGCCTGGCAAACCAACCGCTATTTCAATTCCCCCTGCATAGACAGAGGAGCTGTGTGTTCTCTGGACCCAGGCCTGTACTGACTGACTGACAGACTGAGCCTGGTGAAGTCATGCCTCATGTCTGTCTGTTGAAAGGTGTTGAAGCCTGGCAAACCAACCGCTATTTCAATTCCCCCTGCATAGTTTCGCTGTGATGATGTCACTTCCTTCCGCCCACGATGGGGGTTCTGTTCCCTTGGCGACCGGCCCAGGTCCTGGTTCTCACGGCCTAGAATTGAATGTTAAACTTCAAACCCCATGTGAGCTTTAGGAATGGAGGGATATGGGAGAGAGAAAAAGAAAGGCAGGAGGTCGAGAGAGTAAGACAGACAGAGACACACACACAAAAAAGGGCTCCAAAAACCACTGCTTTTCCACGCCTCACCCCCCTCCTCTAGATCCCCCTCTCTCACTCTTGGCAGCTGAGAATGTACTTAACAAAAATATAAACTCAACATGCAACAATTTCAAAGATTTTACTGAGTTACAGTTCATATAAGGAAATGAGTCAATTGAAAGAAATTCATTAGGCCCTAATCTATGGATTCCACATGACTGGGAATACAGATATGCATCTGTTGGTCACAGATACCTTTTAAAAAAGGTAGGGACGTGGAACCAGTCACTATCTGCTGTGACCACCATTTGCCTCATGCAACGCGACACATCTCCTTCGCATAGAGTTGATCAGGCTGTTGATTGTGACCTGTGGAATGTTGTTCCACGCCTCATATATGGCTGTGCGAAGTTTCTGGTTATTGGCAGGAACTGGAACACGCTGTCATACATGCCGATCCAGAGCATCCCAAACGTGCTCAATGGGTGGCAAGTCTGGTGAGTATGCAGACCATGGAAGAACTGGGACATTTTTAGCTTCCAGGAATTGTGCACAGATCCTTGCGACATGGGGCCGTGCATTGTCATGCTGAAACATGAGGTGATGGCAGTGGATGAATGGCACGACAATGGGCCTCAGGATCTCGTCACGGTATCGCTGTGCATTGAATTTGCCATCGATAAAATGCAATTGTGTTCGTTGTCCGTAGCTTATGCCTGTCCATACCATAACTCCACCGCCACCATGGGGCACTCTGTTCACAATGTTGACATCAGCAAACCGCTTGCCCACACGACGCCATACACGTTGTCTGCGGTTGTGAGGCCGGTTGGACATACTGCTAAATAATCTAAAATGACGTTGGAGGCGGCTTGTGGTAGAGAAACATTCAATTCTCTGGCAACAGCTCTGGTGGACATTCCTGCAGTCAGCATTCCAATTGCGTGGTCCATCAAAACTTGAGACATCTGTGGAATTGTGTTGTGTGACAAAATAAGCTTTTTGTGTATGTGGAGAATTTCTGGGATCTTTTATTTCAGCTCATGAAACTTGGGACCAACGCTTTACATGTTGCGTTTATATTTTTGTTCAGTGTTCAATGGGTGAGGGCAGACTACATGGCCCCGTGAAAGAACAGTAGCTCCATCTGGTGGCAGATAGAAGGAACACATGAAGCAATCAGTACTGACAAGCTGCTGCTGTCTCATCAATCCCCTTCATATTTTTTCTAATCCTAATTTGTTTAACCCCAGTTGCCTGTAGGCACAGATCTAGGATTAGCTTACCTTACTTAAACCCTAGACTCAACTATGATGCCGAAAAACATAGATCAGCATCTATACGGGTAACTTCATTCGACTCTGTTCAACCTGCTTTGTGTGTCCTGTAGGGTGAGCGGGGGTTTCCTGGTCTCCAAGGCAACATGGGGTTCCCAGGCATGCAGGGCAATGAGGGGCCCGCAGGGCCGATGGGCCCTAAGGTGAGTGACAGCTCCAGACCACACCCGTTCACAGTATCACCCACCCACCAAGAGACCTTACTTGGGACAGCATAATGTGATTTACTATGCTTATATTATAACACATACACATTCATCATTTTATTTAAAAAAAATTAGTAATGTCACTTCTATGTTGTCTTAATGTCACCTCAATGTCACTTGTCTCTTCCCAGGGAGAATATGGCGAGTCTGGAACTCCTGGAATGAAAGGAACACGTGTAAGCACAATAATGCTATCAGAACAGACCTCTTCTAGTCTGCAAACCAGTGTTTACTTTCTTACAGCATTTTAGCTTTTGTCAGGACTACCTTGAGGAACGTATACCGTAATATTACTGGGTTTATGTGAGTCTGCCTTCTTATTGGAATGCAATTACTTGTATTCAAAGTGATCTGCTAAATTACTCAAATATAAATGCTGTGTGTTGTGTTTCACACTCCTGAGTGGCGCAGTGGTCTAAGGCACTGCATTGCAGTGCTAGCTGTGCCACTGGAGATCCTGGTTTGAATCCAGGCTCTGTCGTAGCTGGCCGTGACCGGGAGACCCATGGGGTGGTGCACAATTGGCCCAGCGTCGTCCAGGGTAGGGGAGGGAATGGCCGGCAGGGATGTAGCTCAGTTGGTAGAGCTTGTGGGTTCAATTCCCACGGGGGGCCAGTATGAAAATAAAAAATAATGTAGGCACTCACTAACTGTAAGTCACTCTGGATAAGAGTGTCTGCTAAATGACTAAAATGTGATATGATGTCTTGCAGGGATCTAATGGTTTGTCAGGCTTCCCAGGAAATCCAGGGCTTCCGGTATGTTCTGTGAATTCCTGTAAATCATAACCTCACAAACAAGTTGTTTAGGCCATGTGTCCTACCTCACAAATGTCTTACCTGTCCTTGCCTCTCCCCCACAGGGTATCCCTGGACAAGACGGCCCCCCTGGATCATCAGGTATCCCAGGGTGCAATGGAACAAAGGTGAGTCATATGTTTGGTGTCAACTCTGCTGTAGAAACTCACTTACTAATTCCTGTTATTTACGTACTTCTACCCAACCATGCTGTCTCAACCCTGTCTTCAGTGTGAACTGACGTCTCTTATCTGTATGTCTGTGTTCCAGGGAGACCGAGGGACAGATGGACAGCCTGGGTTCCCTGGTCTACAGGGTCCTCCTGTAAGCTCTCTACAACATCAACATCACCAACATGGTCACAGTGTTAACTTCAACACTGCCACAGACTTCACCTTAGACCAGCATTTCATACTAGACCTAAATCCATTAACGAAACATAAGACACTATACTGAAAGATGTTATGATTAACTATTAATAAAATGTATTTATCATTCAATCGGGCGAGATTTACAACTCTATTTCTCTCCTCAGGGTATCCCTGGACTAATGGGATTGAAAGTAAGTTAAAACAGAGGTCTTTTAGATCCTAAATAAATTATGTACATTTCAGTGTTAAAAGGTATGGAAGCATTTGTAGCATCATAAGACATCTACTACAACACTGTTGATGGGCCGGGAAATATAAATGTCCCTCTGTGTAGTGTATTAGTCTCTAACCTGTCTCTGTCTGTCTGTCTGTCTGTCTGTCTTTCTGTCTCTCCCAGGGAGACCCAGGTGGTGTTATAGGAATCATTCCACTGAAAGGAGATAAAGGATTCCCTGGAACACCGGGTCTACCGGTATGTATGTGTGTGTGTGTGTGTGTGTGTGTGCGCGCGCGTGCGTGCCTGACAACAACTCGCTTATACAGAATATTCATCCTTTCTTTCCTACAGGGACCTAATGGCCCCTCAGGACCTGAAGGCCCCCCAGGAAACCAGGGATCAGACGGACCCAGAGTGAGTGATCACTCTAACACTGGATCACTTAGACTTAAATGATACCCTATTCTATGATACCTATGATACCTTATTCTCACTACTTTTGTGAAATGTTTTAACATTAGGATCAAATTGTCTTTAGAACACTGACTGACTGACTATATTCCTCTTTCCCTTTAGGGTTTCCCTGGCCCACCTGGCCCCCCAGGAGAGAAGGTAGGCTTGTTGTCAATTATCTTCTGATAATAGGCCAAAGTTCCGACCTATTGTACTGTATATTGTTGTTCATCCAATCAGATTGCTCTCAGTTGTGAAGGCCAATCAGTTGTCTCAGTAATGACTTTGGTCTTCTCTCTCCAGGGTGACCGGCTTTCTTTCCAGAGTGAGAAGGGAGACAAGGTGAAACACGCACACTTTCATGTTTATAACATCTTTATAAAGGGTTTATAAGCAGTAATATAGCCATAATAAATCAGTTGTAAACAGTTATAACTTCCTTCCTTCACCGTTGAGGGCCAGATTTGGTCTCCATCTCCATTCACCTCCTCTTCTTCCACAACAAAGCCCTCTGCCTTTTCACTGTATATAGTTTTCTTTGTTCCCGTTTCTGATCCGTACCCTTGGTATTTCTCTCTCCTGATAGGGTGAACGAGGGCTCCGTGGTCCTCCTGGCCCCCCCGGACCCCCATCACAGGAAGTGGGAGGAAATCCCGTTACGCATTACCTCCCTGGACCACCGGTACACAGCTCCTTATAATCAATGATAATCAATGATAATAATAGTTGATGATGACCTACTTTGACCTAAGCCCTTGAATCCTTCATGGAGCATAAGCCACTGACGAATGCCCTCCATCTCACTCTATTAACAAATCTATGGTTATCAATGGATGGGTGGATGGATGGATAAATGGATGAATGGATTGATGAATGGATGAAGGGAAAGTAGGTCTGCCTCCTTACTAAAGGTGTTTGTGTCTATCCTTCAGGGTCAGAGAGGCGAGACAGGAGACAGAGGAGAGAAAGTGAGTGTTTTACTATTTTTCAACTCGTTCATACATTAAATGACATTACAGTACATTAAGCCAATATTGACCTGACTTGTGTTTTGATGGCCACTATGAGTAACATTGATGTAATTTATATTTTTGTCTGCAGGGTTCTTGTATTCCATATCTAAATGGGGTCAAGGGTGAACAAGGCCCACCAGGACCAAGGGTGAGTGACGATGATCACATTTCAATAGAATAACATTTTGCTTTTATAGAAGAAAAACAAAATTATTTGCTTTCATGGTAAAACTGAGTTTCTGTGTCTTGGATTTCAGGGAAAACCTGGAAAAGATGGAGACAATGGATTTAAGGTATAGAGATACACGTATACACCTAAGCTACTTTCTCACTGTCTCTCACTCTCCCCTCTTATCTCTCTCTCTCTCTCTCTCTCTCTCTCTCTCTCTCTCTCTCTCTCTCTCTCTCTCTCTCTCTCTCTCTCTCTCACTGTCTCTCACTCCCCCCTCTTATATTTCTCTCTCTCTCTCTCTCTCATTATGTCTGTGTCTCTGTCTTTCTCTCGCTCTCTCTTGTGGTTTTGTCTCAGTAGTTCAGTTGTGTTTGATGTCTTTGTCCTGATCATTGTGATGTGCCTGTTGTCATACAGGGAGAGAGAGGCTTTCCTGGCGGCCCTGGATACCATGGAACACCGGTAACTAAACAACCATTTATTCTGTACCAGTCAATACCTGTACACACCTGTCATATGCTTATTAGAAATGATCTCTGAGTTACCTTTCAGTTCTGAGGATAATAAAATGGACGTCTCTTTGTGTTCTAGGGTGAAAAAGGAGAGAAAGGACCTCCAGGATATGTAAGTACTGTCTCTGCATACTGTATAGTCCAGGGGTTCCCAAACTTTTTTGGCCCACAACCTCATTTTGATATCTGAAAATGCTCATGACCCCAACCATGTGAAAACAAATGATGTTATTGGGGCTATGGCAGTCAATTGTAAAACATTCTAACAGTATTTCTGATTGTATTCTCAACTCAACATCATATACTTTTAATGTGGGGCTATGACAGTCAATTGCAAATTAGTCTGACACATTTTCTCTTATCTCACCACCACTAATGAGATGGGTGTGCTTGTGCATGTCGCATAGGAGCTTCTCAAAGTCAGGGGGCGTGGTCAACAGTGCGCACCTCATCTCTCCTGTCACATCCAACCTGGATCGATATTTGTTTTTAATGCAGACGAGAGCACTGAATCAGCGTACCATGAGTTTTAATGCTCAGAGGGAGATGGCACAGTATTCCCTTTGAGTCAGGAACCAAAACTCCTCCATAGTGACCCGTGAATGCATTGTCTGCAGCATTCGGTCACATGATAGCTAGATTGGATGTGACAGGAGAGATGAGGTGCGCACTGTTCGATTTCACTTACCGGCATGTCAACTGAGCCAAGATCACAGTCAAACGGATTTCGCTGAGTCGGTCACTCATCTGTAGAATTTGTTGGTATTTCCTCTGCATGCTTGCATTCAGCTCGTTCAGTTTCCCAAGTACTGCATGTCGTTACATAGGCAAGGATACACATTTTATTTTCATTACACAGAAAGACATCAAAGTCAGTTTTTTTTTTACATCCATTGCGAATGACAACAGTTCCTCTCTCAATTTGAAAAATCTTTCCAACACTCCCCCTCGATAACCACCAAGCCTTGGTGTGAAATAGAACATTGCACTCTAGCTATGAATGTGTCTCCCTCTGCCATATGGATGCATTGTATGATGCACCCACTATATGGAGATATGGGATCAGAGCATGACAGAGGCCTGCCCGCCGTCCTGTGATAGATGGAGCCCCATCTGTGCATAAGCCCACCATTCGATCCCATGAAATCACTTTTTCGTCACTATAGCCTCGCAGCATACTGAACATCGCTGAGACAGAACAATATGTCCTCGTGAATAGCATTCCCCGACATGTAGCGATCAAAAGTCAATGCATGGGCATCTCGGCCCTCACAGCTAATGTCCATTTGGAGAGTATATGTTGGGGAGTTTGAGTCATTCAGTCAGTTTCGTCTGGATTGCTAGCTTGATTGCGAGGATAAATTCTTAGTTTCACAATGTTATCTTACAAAGGTATTGATGTGAGTTTCTGTTCCTCTGCCTCCCCACACATTGTTGTCACCATATCAATTGCGGCCGGTAATATAAAAATCTCTTCAATAGTGTGTGGTTTCATAGCGTAGCAGGCTTAGCCATTCACCGTGGGAATGATTCAAGTGCAACGGTAAAGTGCGTCCTTCTCCCACAATCTAAGGGCGCTCTCTGGTTGAATTTTAACTTTTAGATTTTAATAATTTTCATTTTTAAGGTTAACCACATTACAATGATTTTGAGAGACAAAGACGATATTATAATATATACAGTCATGGCCAAAATTGTTGGCACCCCTGAAATTTTTCCAGAAAATGAAGTATTTCTCACAGAAAAGTATTGAAATTACACATGTTTTGCTATGCACATGTTTATTTCCTTTGTGTGTATTGGAATAACACAAAAAAAAACAGGAAAAAAGCAAATTTGACATAATTTCACACAAAACTAAAAAAATGGGCCGGACAAAGTTATTGGCACCCTTTCAAAATTGTGGATAAATAAGTTTGTTCCATGCATGTGATGCTCCTTTAAACTCACCTGGGGCAAGTAACAGGTGTGGGCAATCTAAAAATCACACCTGAAAGCAGATAAAAAGGAGAGAAGTTGACTCAGTCTTTGCATTGTGTTTCTGTGTGTGCCACACTAAGCATGGAGAACAGAAAGAGGAAAAGAGAACTGTCTGAGGACTTGAGAACCAAAATTGTGGAAAAATATCAACAATCTCAAGGTTACAAGTCCATCTCCAGAGATCTAGATGTTCCTTTGTCCACAGTGCGCAACATGATCAAGAAGCTTGCAACCCATGGCACTGTAGCTAATCTCCCTGGACGTGGACGGAAGAGAAAAATTGATGAAAGGTTGCAACGCAGGATAGTCCGGATGGTGGATAAGCAGCCCCAAACAAGTTCCAAAGAAATTCAAGCTGTCCTGCAGGCTCAGGGTGCATCAGTGTCAGCGCGAACTATACGTCGAAATTTGAATGAAATGAAACGCTATGGCAGGAGACCCAGGAGGACCCCACTGCTGACACAGAGACATAAAAAAGCAAGACTACAGTTTGCCAAAATGTACATGAGTAAGCCAAATTCCTTCTGGGAGAACGTCTTATGGACAGATGAGACCAAGATAGAGCTTTTTGGTAAAGCACATCGTTCTACTGTTTACCGAAAATGTAATGAAGCCTTCAAAGAAAAGAACACAGTACCTACAGTCAAATATGGTGGAGGTTCAAAGATGTTTTGGGGTTGTTTTGCTGCCTCTGGCACTGGGTGCCTTGACTGTGTGCAAGACATCATGAAATCTGAGGATTACCAAAGGATTTTGGGTCGCAATGTAGGGCCCAGTGTCAGAAAGCTGGGTTTGCGTCCGAGATCATGGGTCTTCCAGCAGGACAATGACCCCAAACATACTTCAAAAAGCACCCAGAAATGGATGGCAACAAAGCGCTGGAGAGTTCTGAAGTGGCCAGCAATGAGTCCAGATCTTAATCCCATTGAACACCTGTGGAGAGATCTTAAAATTGCTGTTGGGAAAAGGCACCCATCCAATATGAGAGACCTGGAGCAGTTTGCAAAAGAAGAGTGGTCCAAAATTCCGGGTGAGAGGTGTAAGAAGCTTATTGATGGTTATAGGAAGCGACTGATTTCAGTTATTTTTTCCAAAGGGTGTGCAACTAAATATTAAGTTAAGGGTGCCAATCATTTTGTCCGGCCCATTTTTTGAGTTTTGTGTGAAATTATGTCAAATTTGCTTTTTTCCTGTTTTTTTTTGTGTTATTCCAATACACACAAAGGAAATAAACATGTGCATAGCAAAACATGTGTAATTTCAATACTTTTCTGTGAGAAATACTTCATTTTCTGGAAAAATTTCAGGGGTGCCAACAATTTTGGCCATGACTGTATATACTTTTTTTTACCAGGATATTGGAAATTCTCCCACGTCCCCATTTTCATATCAGTCGTGCCCTAGCTTAGGAACCACTGCTGTATTCTCTCTGTAGTCTTGCTTATTGCTCTCAGCACCTCAATCTAACTCTTGTACATTTAGGTGCAATTCTATTTTATTACAACCAGATGTCGCCATACAGTCATTGAAAGTGAAATGAGACCAACTGAGTGCTGAGCATCAGCATTATTCTTGAGAAGTGTAGTATTTTTTGAGTCTTGTATGCAGGGGGATGAACATTTTGTATTTGTATAAGTTCAAAGATTTTGTTTTCTGTGATTGTAAGGTTGATGGTGCTCCTGGGGCTCCCGGCCCCCCTGGTCTCCCGGGCTTACAAGGAGAAAGAGGTACAGTACACCCACACCCCACCACCACCCTTTTATAAAACTACACTGTTTAGGTTATCACACCAGCATCCATAGAAGAATGCACACTAAGGTTATATGTAGGCCTTATGTACCACCAACTCTCACCTTTTCCTCTGTATGAAAGGTTTCCCTGGTCTTCAAGGAGATCTTGGTCCACCAGGTAAGAGAACAAAAACACACACTTCGACCATCAAGTGATCAGTTACCCATTCTTTGAAACTTGGTCATATTTTACATCCTCTCTGTCATGTAGTGTGTTAGTTGACATCCCCATACCTTACTGTGTGCCTCCTCTGTGGTGTATCTTAGGCAGGCATATTGAAGGACCTCCCGGAGAGAAGGGCCAACCAGGAGAGATCGGTCAGAAGGGAGACAGGGGTGCAGACGGGGAGTCTCTCAGAGGAAAGCCTGGACAAGATGGATTCATCGGACCCCCTGGTCCTCCCGGACCTCCTGGTAGGTGCACTTTACACATTCATAGTGTGACCTTTGTCATTCTGGAGTCTTGTAGCTGATTATACATATAGCACCTGAGTGTTTTAGGTGCCTCAGTGTTGCCTGACATCTCTCACTTTTACCACCTCTCTGTGTGTGTGTGTGTGTTGTGCTATCTGTATAGGTGATGAGCCATGTGATCCAGCCCTTGAGAAGGGACCACCCGGGTCCCCCGGCCCACCCGGACTACAGGGGGAGTTGGGACAGAAAGGTAAGGAAGGGAGGGAGAGGAGATGGTGGGACCTGGGGATTTCATATAGTGCAGTTGAGAAGTTGACTTTGTTAGCGAGACATCCATCTTATCCCACGCGGTCACCTACCTGTTGTTTCTCTACTGTGAACTTGTATTGCGTTGTACCTCCAGGTGATCAGGGAGACACGTGTGTGCAATGTGAAGCCTTCGGCCCCCCTGGACTCCCCGGTCCCCAGGGGCCTAAAGGACTGCAAGGTGAGGTGACCCACACTATTGGCTGAATCATAAATTGAGATTACATACACAGAACTGAAACCTTTGTTGCCATTGATTTCAATGAGTGATTGGCACTAAGATTGAGTTCCACATCTTCAGCCTGTGTCTCAGGTTAGGATCCTGACCCTAGGGCCTATATTAATCTGACTCCACACTGTTTCCTATGAGATGGTGTTGTTGTGTTTGATTGAGAGGTGTGGTTCGTCTCCTGTAGGATACCCTGGAGCAGCAGGGAGTAAAGGAGACAAGGGACTGCCTGGACCTACTGGGCCTGATGGAAGCCCTGTGAGTTATCTTCATCACATTACTCATTCCTCTAATAGAACATGATAAAGACCATTACGGTGGACATGTTGCATCACTATAGCTCCATGAAGATCAAGATCCTTATTTGTGTGTAACAAGTAGTCAGAGGACATTCACATTTCAAGTTTTATTAGTCGTATGTACAGGATACACCGTCCGAAATGCTGACTTCCAGGTACCTTCTCTACAATGCAACAACAATAAGAAACAATACAAGATAAGAATAAGAACATAAAGTAAATGGCTCAGTAGAATATAATAAACATTTTAGCATAAGTAGAATACAGGAAGGCACAATTTATAGTACAATATTAACACGTCATTACTATGTATGTTTGTCCAGTAGTTTTCTAATCAAATACATTGTTGATTGATCCTGCTGTCTCTTCTCCTCTCCCCAGGGTAATTCCGGTACTCCTGGGTTGATAGGTGCTCCAGGAGCCCATGGTGAGCCTGGGGACATCTACGTGGCTCCAGGGCTGAAGGGTGACAAAGGAGGGTCTGGCTTCGTGGGCACACGAGGACTCCCAGGTGTGGATGGACTGCCAGGGAAAGCTGGACTACCAGGCCTGCCCGGACCCAAAGGAGAACCTGTAAGTGTGTGCACACATGCATGTGTGTGTTTCAACCATTACTTTAAGGATTGCAGCATCTACGCTCATGCAGTGATGTAGTCACTCATCCCTCTCTATCGCTGATCTCTGCCTACAGGCCCGAGATGGCATCAAGGGGGACCGTGGTCTGGATGGGGACCCTGGGATCACTGGACCCCAAGGAGAGAGGGGTCCTCCTGGTGTACCAGGGTTTGGCCGGCCGGGGGAGCCTGGAGAGAAGGGTACATCTGGCCAAGCAGGCCAACCTGGAATCCCTGGACAACCAGGTGGGTGTGCAACTACAGATGAAGCTATTGATGCAGCTAAACACATATATATATATATATATATATATATACACACACACACACACACACACACACACACACACACACACACACATACATACATTTAGGTATAAGGAGCCAATGACCATGTGTATCTGCTCTCTCCCTATGTGTCAGGACTGAAAGGTGAACCAGGAAAAGGTGTGAGTTCACCTGGACCCCAGGGCACCCCTGGACCTCGAGGAGAATCTGGCAGACCTGGACTACAAGGTGAGGATCAGCTTAGTGTTTATATGTATAGCTTATGGTAGGCTATGGTCCTGCATGGTCCTGCACAGCTCATAATGAACATCTTCTCCATCCCTACCCAGGTGACAGAGGACCTCATGGAGACCCTGGAATGCCAGGATTCCCAGGACAGAAAGGTGACGCAGGTGTACCTGGCATCGGATTCCCAGGACCACCTGGGCCTAAAGGATATTCTGGAGCTCCAGGAGCCACTGGGTTGCCAGGAGAGCCTGGAAGACCTGGACAGGATGGTTTCTCTGGAATATCAGGCACACCTGGTCCAAAGGTGTGTGTTTTCTATTTGTATGTCGTTGCTTCACTTCCTGTTGTTTCAAACTCCACAACCAACCAATCAACCAATCTTCTACTGTCCTTTCTAGGGTGAGCCAGGTCGGGGTCTACCTGGACCTAAAGGTGCTCAGGGTCCTGCCGGAGTGACAGGTTTTCCTGGAGAGAAAGGCAACCTTGGTCTACCTGGTATTCCCGGACAAGAGGGACACACAGGACCACCTGGAGCTCAGGGCATTAAAGGTGACCCCGGCCTCCCTGGTCAGCATGGTGGCACTGGACCCCCTGGACCCCCTGGAGCAGGAGAACCTGGTGCCCCTGGACCCATGGGACCCCCTGGAGAGTCAGGCCTCTTCGGTCGTGACGGTGTGAAGGGTGATAAGGGTTTCCCTGGCTCTCCTGGTCTGGACATGCCCGGCCCTCAGGGAGAGAAGGGAGGCTCAGGATTCCCTGGACTTTCTGGTTCCAAAGGGTTGACAGGACGACCAGGCCCCGCCGGCAGAGATGGATTGCCTGGGGGGGCAGGTGAGACTTACAGGCCTCAGAACTGTGTAGGAGGTCTGATGTAACTGGAAGGACATTGACACTCATTGACTGGACTGGTCTTGGTTGATTGCTGTTGATTTGAATGAGCATTTGGTGAAATTGAGAAGCTTTGACCTTCAATACTTTGTAAGCTCTGATCTTCAATATTCAGATCTTTTTCCATTCCATTTTCATGTATTTGTTGATGTGTGTGTGTTTCCCAGGTCCCAAGGGAGAGATGGGAGTCATGGGAACACCCGGAACACCAGGATATCAGGGTCCTGCTGGGAACCCTGGAAGTCCAGGACTGAGAGGTGAGACAGTAGAAATGCAGCCTCTGCACTTATGCCGCTGTACTACTAGAATACCCATTGCATGTCTCAACACTCATCTCTTTCTCTCAGGTGACCCTGGTATCTCTGGGCCAAGGGGGGAGTTCGGTGAGCTTGGACCCAAAGGAGAGAGGGGAGAGCCAGGTCTGCAGGGCCCTGCTGGAAACATGACTGATGTGGACATGGAGCACATGAAGGGAGAGAAAGGAGACCTCGGCGACCCAGGTATACAACATGAACATGCCCCATCCTACTGCACTGTATGTCTGTGTCAGATGATTAGTTCAAATGGTATTTTTCAAAGTCACTGTGAATTGTTTAGGTATGCTAAATCCCACTTTTTCTCATTAGGTGACCCTGGATACACGGGAGAGAAGGGTTATCCAGGACAGCCCGGAGTACCTGGTATGCCAGGAAAGGATGGCGAGCCCGGTACACCTGGTCAGCCAGGTAAGTCACCTGTGTAGGCTTCGCCCCACCCCTCGGTTTATCGGGAATGGTCTAAAATTGTATGCTACCTAGTGTGAAAGTATGTATTGGTCTTGCACAATATATACAGTGCCTTCGGAAACAATTCATACCCCTTGACTTATTCCACATTTTGTTGTGTTACAGCCTGAATTCAAAATGGATTAAAAATAATGTCTTACCCATCTACACACAATACCCCATAATGACAGTGAAAACAGGTTTTTAGACATTTCAGCAAATCTATTGAAAATGAAATACATAAATATTTCATGTACATACAGTACCAGTCAAAAGTTTGGACACACCTACTAATTCCAGGGTTTTTCTTTATTTTTACTATTTTCTACATTGTAGAATAATAGTGAAGACATCAAAACTATGAAATAACACATATGGAATCATGTAGTAAGTAAGAAAGCCACCCTTTGCCCTGATGACAGCTTTGCACACTCTTGGCATTCTCTCAACCAGCTTCATGAGCTAGTCACCTGGAATGTGCAGTTGCAAACACCATCATGCGCTATGATGAAACTGGCTCTCATGAGGACCCCCACAGGAAAGAAGACTCAAAGTTACGTCTGCTGCAGAGGATAAGTTCATTAGAGTTAACTGCACCTCAGATTGCAGCCCAAATAAATGCTTCACAGAGTTCAAGTAACAGACACATCTTAACATCAACTGTTCAGAGGAGACTGCGTGAATCAGGCCTTCATGGTCGAATTGTTGCAAAGAAACCACTACTAAAGGACACCAATATGAAGAAGAGACTTGCTTGAGCCAAGAAGCATGAGCAATGGACATTAGACTGGTGGAAATCTGTCCTTTGGTCTGATGAGTCCAAATGTGAGATTTTTGTTCCAACCGCCGTGTCTTTGTGAGACGCAGAGTAGGTGAACGGATGATCTCCACATGTGTGGTTCTCACCGTGAATCATGGAGTAGGAGGTGTGATGGTGTGGGGGTGCTTTGCTGGTGACACTGTCTGTGATTTATTTAGAATTCAAGGCACACTTAACCAGCATGGCTACCACAGCATACTGCAGCGATACGCCATCCCATCTGGTGTGCGCTTAGTGGGACTATCATTTGGAGAGTGATGGAGTGCTGCATCAGATGACCTGGCCTCCACAATCACCCGACCTCAACCCAATTGAGATGGTTTGGGATGAGTTGGACCGCAGAGTGAAGGAAAAGCAGCCAACAAGTGCTCAGCATATGTGGGAACTCTTCTGGAAGTAAGAATGGGAGAAAATCCCCAAATCAGATGTGCAAAGCTGATACAGACATACCCAAGACGACTCAAAGCTGTAATTGCCGCCAAAGATGCTTATACAAAGTATTGACAGGTGTTAATACTTATGTAAATGAGATATGTATGTATTTAATTTTAAATACATTTGCTAAAATTAATAGAAACATTCTCACTTTGTCATTATGGGGTATTGTGTGTAAATGGGTGAGGGGAATTTCTTTTAAAAATAATTTTGAATTCAGGCAGTAACACAACAAAATATGGAATAAGTCAAGGGGTATGAATACTTTCTGAAGGCACTGTAGTATACTAGTATGGGTATTGGGACACAGTCAATGTGATGATGATAAAATTACATTCTCTTTCAGACACTGTATGATTCTTGTTTCTCAGGTGTGAAAGGAGACATAGGTGTTCCTGGAGAGCCCGGCAGTATTGGTTATCCTGGAAATAAAGGAGGCATTGGTGAAATGGGATATCCAGGTAAGAAAAAAACACACAATCCACTCACTGACAAGAACTGACATCAGTCTTTAAATAGAACATCCACTCAGATCTGTTTGCTACGTGCAAGAATCATCTGTATTTGAGCTAGGGATATTTTAATGTTTGTAAGCCAGTTAGCAATTGTAGAAGTGTCAAGTCTAAGGCTAAGGTATGCTAACTGGCCTACTGGTCTTGATGTGCTTCAGTTCTGGTTAAACTGGTTCTAACTGGGTTCTCCTGTATGGTTCCACAGGCTCTGTAGGTCCGAAGGGTGATAAAGGCATTGTGGGCACACCGGGTCATCCAGGGTTCAGGGGTACAGAGGGGGTGAAGGGAGACAAGGGAAAAACCGGTCTGCCAGGTGTCGGAGTACCAGGACCCCCTGGAGAGAAGGTAAGCTACTTACTACCACTCATTGTTTGTGTGTCGCTACAGTACATACATTTTTGTCATTACAGAGATGCCACTAATCGTCTGTCTTTTTCTCTCAATCAATCTTTATATGCTCTTATTTTCCTCTCGTTTCCCCCCTCCCTGTATCTCTCCATGCCTCTCTCTTTCTCTCTCTCTCTCAGGGTCAGTCGGGTCTGCCTGGTTTCCCTGGTAACGCAGGAGAGAAGGGTCAGAAGGGAGGAATGGGGGTGCCCGGGATGCCAGGAACATCAGGAATCAAGGGAGACACCGGACACATCGGTTACCAAGGTGAGGCTCCGGTCTCCATGACCACAACTACTCCTGTTCGACCTGACTGATTGATTAGTTGATTGATTTTATTTTGGGTTAAAAATACAAGACTAGAATACATTTTGGCATAGGGAAGAGCACTAGAATGCATTATTTGGTACATTTTTAATCATCTCACAAACCCAGAGAAGTGTCTTGTTGATTGGCAACCTCTATAAACCCAGGTGTGTGTTGTAATGTGCAGGTCAGCCAGGTCAGCCAGGAGAGAAGGGTATTGGTGGGCTTCCCGGGTCACCAGGAGAGCCAGGTCAAACAGGTCGACCAGGTAAGTACTCTAACAGATGGAATACAGTAACAATGCCCCAGGTTCCTTTCAGTACAATATGACAGCTAGTCAAGAAGCTTACCCCTGAATAATTGCCCAAGTGTACATGCTGTAGCTACTGTACCCCAGCGTGTAGAGAGACACTCAGGTAACTGTATTGTTTCCTAGGTGAGCCTGGTCTGCAGGGTCCCCCAGGTACAACCGGAGAGAAAGGAGCATCAGGAGTGGACGGCATACCTGGATCATCAGGAGAGAGAGGAGACACAGGTGAGTCACCTCTCCTGACCTTTAATATGATCAGGTGTGTTTATCAGCCTATAAACCACTTGTAAGCCACATGGTTTTATGATCTGTGCTATATTTCTATTATAAGCCCCACATTTGACTATGTCTCCATATCAACTCATGCACTGTGGACCGTTAACAAACAGCACAGGCAGGTGAAGTGTTTCCAGTCATGGCTTAGAGTTTGATCCACTCTGTTCTCTGTGTTTCTCCTACAGGTTTACCCGGCAGGGGCTTCTCAGGGACACCAGGGTCATCTGGGGATAAAGGTGACAAGGGCAGTCCAGGTTTCCCAGGCTCTCCAGGTATCCCGGGTATCCCAGGGACCAGGGGAGACAAGGGTACGCCAGGCTTTGAGGGCTCCCAGGGCCAGCCAGGCGACCGGGGTCTCCCAGGACACGCCATGGAGGGGCCCAAAGGAAACCAAGGAGTGCCAGGAAAGCCTGGAGAACCAGGTACTGTATGCCACACACCTGAGTCCTGCTGTAATGTACATTCTGATACATATGACCACCCTCTCATTCGCCTCCTCTTCTCATCCCCATCTCAGGTAACAGTGGTGCTCCAGGTCCTGCTGGTGTTCCAGGCAGCGTGGGTGGGAAGGGAGACAAGGGAGACCAGGGTGAACCAGGAGTACAGGGGGAGCAGGGCTTCAAGGGAGAACGAGGATACCCTGGACTTTCTGTAGGTCACCTCCTGTTGCTTACTGACTGACCCATGTGTGATGTCAGTTTAGTCTGTTTATCATGAAAGGTGTCCACCATTTGACTGGTGTGTGTGTTACAGGGTCAAGCTGGCCTTCCAGGTGTTGATGGACTGAAGGGAGAGATGGGACTGCAGGGAGTGCCTGGTTTCCCAGGTGAGTGGTGCAGCTGATTTAGATGGTGTACACAGTTTCTTTGTGCCTGTACACAGTGTGTCTATGAGTCTGTGGTTCTGTTGGTTTTGTGGCTAAATCTCCTCTCTCCTGCAGGGACAAAGGGTGAATTCGGAGTGGTTGGATTCAAAGGAGAGCTGGGGGACAGAGGATTCCCAGGAGACAAAGGTGAAAGGAAGAGCAACATAACAGCCATTAAACCAAATCACTTAGTGCTTGTTTCTTTGTGAAAATCTCTCCTGAGCTTCTATAGCATCGAACACCTACATTATTACTGTGCAAATGTTATGCCCTGTATATTAGTATATGGATTCTGATGTTTGTTTATGATTGATTACATTATATGGTATTAATCATCCTTCCTTCCCTTCCTTGTTTCAGGTAATGATGGTCCCCCTGGTCCTCCTGGCCCCCACACCTTCAACAAAGGAGACATGGGCTTCCCTGGTAATCAGGGCCCTCAGGGGCCTGTGGGGCCCTCAGGTATCCCTGGGCTGAAAGGACAGCAAGGTGAGATTTCAAACCATCCTATATACAATGAGCCAATTTATTATGACCAAACATCAGCTCTGATCACCCCATAATATTGCACCACTCTCATTCATCCATTATCTTTCTCTCTCCTCCCTCTCTGTCTCCCAGGTGTGACAGGTATTCAGGGTATTAAAGGTGATGAGGGGAACCCTGGGTTTAATGGTCTCCCCGGAGCCAAGGGAGAACCAGGCCTTCTTGGTCCCTCAGGTGAGAGACCCCTTTGTCCAGTTAATAGCCACACTAAAAGGTCACTACACTGCATGTAGAATAGAATAATATCTGTGATCATTCTAGATGTACTATTTATATCTGGGGGTTATTCTCAGATTGGGCGCTAACATGCCATTTGACCCTGACCTTTATCTTTGACCTTTGACCCTTCTACCTATAGGACCCAGAGGGTACCCTGGACCCCCAGGACCTGACGGTGTTCCGGGTCAGGTGGGTCCTCCTGGCCCCTCCTCGATGGAACACGGTTTCCTGGTAACCAGGCACAGCCAATCGGTGGAGGTTCCACAGTGTCCCGAGGGAACGTCGGTGATCTATGATGGATATTCCCTACTCTACGTCCAGGGCAACGAGCGCTCCCACGGGCAGGACCTGGGTAAGAGAGAGGGAGGGAGAGGGGGATAGAGAGAGATGGGAGGGGAGGTACTGTAGATGAGACTATCTTGTATCTATCTTGTGATTCAGATCAGCATCACACTAAACTACTTGTGTGTATGTCTCTGTGTGTAGGTACGGCTGGTAGCTGTCTGAGGAAGTTCAGTCCCATGCCCTTCCTCTTCTGTAACATCAACAACGTCTGTAACTTTGCCTCCCGTAACGACTACTCCTATTGGCTCACCTCCCCTGAGCCCATGCCAATGAACATGGCCCCTATAACCGGCCAGAGCATCAAGCCCTTCATCAGCAGGTGTGTGGGTGTGGGTTCCTTTTTGTTTCTACATGTGGTGCATTTGGCCCTTGCATTGATGATGGCAGTATATGTTTGTGTACTCACCTAGGGTATGTGTGTGAGTGTGTCTATGTATAGTGTCAATGTGTATTGACCTCAGTCTATGCCTCCAGGTGTTCAGTGTGTGAGGCTCCTGCCATGGTGATAGCAGTACACAGTCAGAACATCATGATCCCATCATGCCCCAATGGCTGGGACTCACTCTGGATTGGCTACTCCTTTGTCATGGTGAGAGAAACACAACTCATATAACAACACCATACCTAGTGTATCTGTACTTGCTTTGATGAACTTACCAATTCATGTTTTTGTTTCCATATCCTCAACCCCCCATGTCTCTCTGTCTCTGTGCAGCACACCAGTGCAGGTGCTGAGGGCTCTGGACAGGCCCTGGCCTCTCCTGGCTCCTGTCTAGAGGAGTTCCGTGGCGCTCCGTTCATCGAGTGTCACGGCCGTGGAACCTGCAACTACTACGGCAACTCCTACAGCTTCTGGCTGGCCACAATCGAGGACGACGAGATGTTTACGTAAGCTGACAACAACTCCCTTTTTCCTCTCTATCTTTCCCTCTCTCACCACCAGAGCTCTGACATGGTCTTGTTTGATTGACTGAGTGATTGAATGGAGGGATTGATTGATGTTGATTGATGTTGTCTTGTGTCTGGTTCCAGGAAACCCGTGCCCACCACACAAAAGGCAGGAAATCTCCGGAGTAACATTAGCCGTTGCCAGGTGTGCATGAAGAGGACATAGGCCCTACCCCATGACCTCTCTGTGGCCCTTGACCACCCACCACAACACCTGACCCCACCCAGTCCGTCCGTCTGTGGCGTGACTTTGTGTTATTGACCAAAGGATGGTGCTATTTCACTGCATGTGTGAGAGGAGAGGAACAGACACACTGTGAAACAGAACAACAAAAACACCCTGAGAGATCGACGAAAGAACAGAACCCACACACACAGTCAGAGGAGGCTGGTGGGAGGAGCTATAGGAGTACAGGCTCATTGAAATGGCTGGAATGGAATATTGGAACGGAGTCGTATGTGTTTTCTGTATGTTTGATACCGTTCCATTTATTCCATTCCAGCCATTACAATGAGCCCCTCCTCCTATAGCTCCTCCCACCAGCCTCCTCTGACACACACACACACACCAGAGACCAAACCATAAGATCAACTGGCCCTACGCTCGATCATGCAGAACACTTTACTAACATTTTCATAACGTTTCTCTAGCAAATGGCGCCCAGTTTACGACTGCACTGAGTACATCTCCCCCCTCCCCATTAGTAAACTGGCGTCCATTTTGAAAGGGGGTGTTTGTGTAAGTCAGGTGCTATTGAATCTTATCTACTTGCCTTATTCCAGTACAGTATGTTTGTATTTTCACTCAATGCCACTGACTTTCAGCTCTGAGTTACAGTTATATATATATTGTTATTGTTCTTCACTTTTATTTTTGTAATAACACAATACTAATGTAAGGATGGGAGTTACCACTGGTTACAGATGCTTGTCATATTGAGAAATCACCGTAAATTAAGGGCTCTATTCAATCCGTATCGCAGAAGTTCAGCGTTACAGCATGATTGAAAATTCAAAGACAATGTTCCCACATTAGCAGATATTGCATTCACAGTTAATGCTGCATATGTCGGCTCAATTGGAAATTACCTTTACATTTATATCGTGCAATCTGTAACGCTTCAGCGATACAGATTGAATAGAGCCCTAAGGGTTGCTAGCATGCAGGCATAGCGATGGTTCTGTTGTAAATATATTGCTTTTCTTTTTCCTTACTAAAATAACAGCCAACATAATCTCTCCAGGTATTTACATTTTAATTTGTGTTATTTCAATTTTTATTTATTTGAGTATATGTAGAGCTTGAGTGGATTTGAGTTGCCAAAGAACCATAATCAATGTGAGTAAAGAAAGTACAGTATGTTATTCTGTTCCAACCTGACCCAGGCACTTATAGTTACAATACTGCGTTTAGTGTTATATGCTACAGTTAGCATTCATCAGTCATGCCTTATCTGTCAGTATGCAAAACAGAACAGTGACATATAGTGGTGGCAGCATCACAGATGGTATGTGTGTGTGTATGTCATTGGAGCCCACACGTGCACATATTCACACACCACAGGAGGCTTCTGAGGGGAGGACAGCTAATAATAATTAATGTTAATGGAGTTAATGGAATGGTATCAAACACATGGAAAACATGTGTTCGATACCATTCCATTGAATACGTTCCTGCCATTACTATGAGCCTGTCCTCTCCAATTAAGGTGCCACCTGCCGCCTGTGTCACACACACTCGCGCACTCACACCCTCTCAGTACGAGGGGAAACATTGACACAGCTTGCCATGTGTAGTATGCAGAGGGTGTGTGTGTTGTCACAAGCCGAAGGAGTTTCCACACACATGGTCCTGTTGACCGAAGAAGTTCATGGCTTGTAGATTGTGTGCAGAGGACTCCTTAAGACAGAAAGCGAGTCGTCAAACACTCGTCAGTTCACTTGGCCACTCAATCTACTCTGTGTGCATCAATAGTTCTGTGTAATGTACGTTTCCTGAATACGTCCTTCACATTATTTTGTGTTGAAGCTTATTAATCAAATGCTAGAACCCAAAGAAAGACATGTACAGTCGTGGTCAAAAGTTTTGAGAATTACGCAAATACTAATTTTCACAAAGTCTGCTGCCTCAGTTTTGATGATGGCAATTTGCATATACTCCAGAATGTCATAAAGAGTGATCAGATGAATTGCAATTAATTGCAAAGTCCCTCTTTGCCATGAAAATGAACTTAATCCCCAAAAAACCTTTCCACTGCATTTCAGCCCTGCCACAAAAGGACCAGCTGCCATCATGTCAGTGATTCTCTCGTTAACACAGGTGAGAGTGTTGACGAGGACAAGGCTGGAGATCACTCTGTCATGCTGATTGAGTTAGAATAACAGACAGCTTTAAAAGGAGGGTGGTGCTTGAAATCATTGTTCTTCCTCTGTTAACCATGGTTACCTGCAAGGAAACACGTGCAGTCATCATTGCTTTGCACAAAAAGGGCTTCACAGGCAAGGATATTGCTGCTAGTAAGATTGCACCTAAATCAACCATTTATCGGATCATCAAGAACTTCAAGGTGAGAGGTTCAATTGTTGTGAAGAAGGTGTTTGGGTGCCCAAGAAAGTCTGAAGTCCCCTGTAGCTCAGTTGGTAGAGCATGGCGCTTGCAACGCCAGGGTTGTGGGTTTGTTTCCAACGGGGGGCCAGTATGAAAATGTATGCACTCACTAACTGTAAGTCGCTCTGGATAAGAGCGTCTGCTAAATGACAAAAAAAAGACTTTTGGAGGATGGCCTGGTGTCAAGAAGGGCAGCAAAGAAGCCACTTCTCTCCAGGAAAAACATCCGGGACAGACTGATATTCTGCAAAAGGTACAGGGATTGGACTGCTGAGGATTGGGGTAAAGTCATTTTCTCTGATGAATCCCCTTTCCGATTGTTTGGGGCATCCGGAAAACACCTTGTCTAGAGAAGACAAGGTGAGCGCTACCATCAGTCCTGTGTCATGCCAACAGTAAAGCATCCTGAGACCATTCATGTGTGGGGTTGCTTCTCAGCCAAGGGAGTGGGCTCACTCACAATTTTGCCTAAGAACACAGCCATGAATTAAGAATGGTACCAACACATCCTCCGAGAGCAACTTCTCCCAACCATCCAAGAACAGTTTGGTGACGACCAATGCCTTTTCCAGCATGATGGAGCACCTTGCCATAAGGCAAAAGTGATAACTAAGTGGCTCGGGGAACAAAACATTGAAAGTTTGGGTCCATGGCCAGGAAGCTCCCCAGACCTTAATCCCATTGAGAACTTGTGGTCGATCCTCAAGAGGCGGGTGGACAAACAAAAACCCACAAATTCTGACAAACTCCAAGCATTAATTATGCAAGAATGGGCTGCCATCAGTCAGGATGTGGCCCAGAAGTTAATTGACAGCATGCCAGGGCAGATTGCAGAGGTCTTGAAAAAGAATGGTCAACACTGCAAATATTGACTCTTTGCATAAACGTAATGTAATTGTCAATAAAAGCCTTTGACACTTATGGAATGCTTGTAATTATGTTTCAGTATACCATAGTAACATCTGACAAAAATATATCATAACACTGAAGCAGCGAACTTTGTGAAGACCAATATTTGTGTCATTGTCAAAACCTTTGACCACGACTGTATACACACGCACCTATGTGTACTCTTATTCTTACGCTGATATACTTGATCATGCCTCCTGCAATATTATTCCTGTGATAATTAGCTAGATAGATTTAGATATACTAGATTTGCCATTTTGGTCAAAGACAGAGAGGGATGTATTTATAACTAAGTGACTTTACATATTCCTGGGTATTTTGAATCTACTTTTCAAGCTCCCTTTTAAAATGTATATTCCTTACTGCTCTGTTTGCCACTTGTCCCTAATCTACAACATGAATCCTACCCTGCTGCTCCCCTCTTTCGTCTGAGGGTGAACGCCAAAACCCTAGAACCAAGACTCTCCTGTCCCAGCCCAAAATCAGTCAAGTACCAAATGATTGAGATGGAAGAAATAAAGCTTCCGAACCTCACAAAATACTTGTAAAAGGCTCTTATCATTAGTACACTCTCTCTGTTTTATTATTCTTCACAAATGCTCATTCATACATACAATATTAGTAGCACTTGTCGAGGAATACGTTTGAGTTCAGTGGCAAATTTAGCGGGAGAGTTCTTGGTTGTAGTCCCTAGCTCATGATTAACCAACAGACCAAATGTTTAGCCAACTATTCTCCTCACCTCCTAGTCCCCATACTGTGTAATTCATACAATAAAATGATTTGTATAAAATATGATGTGTTGTCATAACTGTCTCCTATTAGTGGCAGCAGTGGGATACAGTCACTGTTGGGGAGCCCAACAGTCTACATCTATTATTTCAATGTTTTTTGTCCATTGTACTGTACATGTAAAAGCTATGTGATATACTATAGTAGTAGTCTCATCCACTAGAAGGAAAACTCAGTCCACTGTAGTGAAGACTACAGTTCAGTGGGAAGCCATATTCACATTGCCATTTTAGTCATTCAGCAGATGATATTACCCAGAGTGACTTATCAATTACAATAAGTGCATTCAATGAAGATAGTCGAGACTACAATGCAGCCGAGCCACCAATATGAAGTAGGCCCAATAATCAACTTGGATGTTCACCTTGAGTGTGTCTCTCCCTGCTTCCAGTTGCAGAGTATGTACCACCACACCAGGGCTGGCAGCATCTACATCAGCACTTCTACTAGGCCGAAGGCCAACAAACCCACTCACCCCAGGCTGCTAAACATTAACGGATCAATGCACTCTGGGGAGAGAGAGAGGGAGCACGATAACCTCCTCTTTTCATCTCTCCATCTCTACGCCGCTCGTTTTTCATCCCTTACCAGAATCCTAACCCCTCGTTTCCTCTGCTGTCACCAGCAGCCCCAAAAAAACATGTTGCGCCAGAGCTTGACCAATGACCAGGAAGTGTAAACAGAGACTAAGGTAATCCAGGTAGAGCAGAGAATATAGGCTCCTATTACATCCTCGTCCATAAGCAACTTCCAGCCCCTTAACCTAACCACTACCTATTGGATATAGCAGAGCTGAAGGAACTTGATTGGCTACACCTAACCTTCCAGTAGACTAAGGGGAGCTTCCGCCATATTGCTTACATTTATCCAGTTTCTTTCAGATCTTCAACCATTGAAGGAGTAAGGGCAGATGCAAGGGGTTGTTTGTGTACTTGGCCTTCATGTTTATCCAACATCTATCTTACAGATCTGGTCGACACCACCCCAACTGGTGACACATGGAAGTTCACTCCTTCAGATCAGCAGAAGTACAGTATACATATAGTATAATTAATGCTAGAATCAATAAAACTATGGTTTTAGGTGGATATCTGGTGACACTTTTATGTAGGTGTCATAACCAGCCATAAAATAACTCATATGTCACAACAGGTGTAAATATATGGGTCATGACATTGTTATGACCATATGACAGGTTGACAAGTTATGTCCGCTGTTATGACACATTATGACATGGTTATGACCGTGTCATAATGTGTTATGACGCTTGGTGTCAAGTAAAGTGTTACAGTATTTCTTTATTGTTGTCAAGGGAATTCAAG